CATGTTGAAAAATGCCTTTTTTTCTTGTAGTGAAAAATTAAAGTAAGAGATATTTTATTATAATTTACAATTGTTCTCTATGTTGGGGATGCAGAATTCTCTTGGTCCTTCATGAATTAGTTATGTGGCCAAAACTACATGTCCATAAGCCAATATTGATGTGTTGTAACTTGCTAATGCATCCTTAACTAAACCGGCACCAACTAATTGATACACATCCTACTAAAATCACAGAACCACACATTTATAAATCAAATTAGATCCTTATGTTTTTTATTCAATGAAATGGCCTTAAATTCATTAACATGTCCTCTTGAGGATATTTGTGTTAATAAAAAGGACTGTAGGTTGAGGTACTCATTGCAACAGAATATGTAAAACTATGGGGAATTTCAGAAATAAGTTCAAACCTGAGATGATTTTGAGTCTAAAACTGAATCAAATGTGTAGGTTCTATCACCAACTGATACTAAATCCTTAGGAACTTTCCTAACCGTTCCATCTCCACTTCCAGGGCCATTAGATGGCCTGATCCTCAATACAACCTACACATACACCCAGAATCATATACACTTGAAATTAACACAACCTAAACAAATAGCAAAAAAAAGTTAAAATTTAACAATATTCACCATCTGATAATATAAAACAGATTAGAATTAGTTAAATTGGCATACCAAAATTATCAAAACAACTCCAAGCACAAAATCCAATATTACTCGATTAACAAATATAATATTCAATAACATTAACTACAGGATTTGTAAAATTATAGTAATTTTAAAATACCTTGATTGGTGGATCAGGATCTGCAGGTAATTTTTCCTGGGCAACATATGAGGTTCATTCTTCCGTATAGCTATTGACTTTGGGTTCAATTTTTGTATTTTTTGGGAATGAAATTGAGGTCGATAAAGGGGGGTCACTAATCTGGATGTTGGAGTGACTGAGAGAGCTTGGAGTGACCGGTGACCGGAGTAGAGGCTAGAGCGATTTTGGAGAGATCGAGAGTCGAGAGAGATGAAGGATACTGGAGCGGCGGGTAGGGGTGGGCGTGGTTTGGGTTGGGTTTTGCCCAAACCCAAACCCAAACCCAACCCAACATGGTCGGTTTGATCTAAAATCACCAACCCAATCTGTGTAAATGTCCCAACCCAACCCACCCCAACCAAGTGTCGGTCGGGTTGGGTTGGGTTGGTCGGGTTGCCAAAAACTACTTTTAAATATTTGTAGCCAAAAGTAATATTTGGTAAGATTATTTGTATTGGATGGGATTCTAAAGTGTTAACCATACACCAAACTTAAAGAAATGACTAAAATTGTTCTTAAAAGTTAAAACTATCTACCTAAAGTTACTGTCATTTCTTTAGTGCACCAATTGCATACCTCACTATCCATACTAAAAATTAAAATAACAACAATAACCAAGCATAATATCCCTGTTAATCTGTTATACATCAATAAGCACCAACATGTTGAACAAATAAAGTTACAACTCAATTACTCAAAAGGCATGATTAAACTTGAAAGGGCAAACTCATTTACACTAAAGATACTGTTCACGAAAATATGTTTC